CTCTCTCTCTCTCTCTCTCTCTCTCTCTCTCTCTCTCTCTCTCTCTCTCTCTCTCTCTCTCTCTCTCTCTCTCGTTGCGACATGGACGTGTGTTTCGGGTGGTCGATCAATGCGAGGAATGAATGACTGCATATGTGAATGACGTTCATACAAGTAAAATATTAGAGAAATAATGAAAACATGCCTTGCATGCATCAGCTCTCACAAAGCGTTTGGCCATGCACTCACAATACTTGCCCCGTCCGCCTGCGTGAATGTCCTCTTCCTCATCGTCTGTGCTGTGCAGTACAAATGTCAACAACGGATACAAGATTGTGCAAAAGAGGATGGACAATGCATCTCGCAACTTCGTCTTTATCGGAGAGGGAGATGGCAGCATTAGCGCATATCATTCGCGAATACGGGAATAGGTACCTCGTTGTCAGCACACAAGATGCGCACAATAACGAAGTGTTGCAACTCACTCGCAACGATTTCCTTTTACTCGTCGTCGAACAACAGTGGTTAAACGACAACGTGATCAACTTTTATCTCAACCTCGTAGCATAAGACAACTGCTGTAGAATACAGCATGTAGAATGCGACGCGGATAATGAGATAGTCATTAGAGAAGGAAACGGTCGCATTCCCAGAGTATCAGTGCTGAGCTCGTTTTTTTTTGTCTAACTTTTCGATAATGACATGAGATATAGAGGCCGAGAGGTAGAATGCTGGTACCAGGATGTAATTATAAGTGACATGGATTTGATTATTGCTCCTTTCCATATCGCACACCAGGACCACTGGACCTTGGTCATGGCTAACTTAAGGAGGAGGAAATTCGAATTTTACGACCCCCTCGACCTCGACAAGGAGTTCGCGTTAAAAGTGACCGGCGGGTTTGCAAAGTTTTTATTCGAAAGATCGAAAGTGCAAGGCAAAGAGGTGGACACGAGACCATTCAATCACATATGGAATGTAGAGGACATTCCAAAGCAACATGACATGAACGAATGTGGGGTCTTTGTACTCACGTACGCGTCACTTTTGGCACGGGGCCAACTTCCGCCTTTCTGTTTCACCGCAGATGACATACCCGCGATACATCGTCGGATGGCATTGGACCTAGTGGCTCGTGAGTAGTGCGTATGTGATATTCTATAGTATGATTGCGAAGGGGGCGGACGTGGTTGGCACGAGATGACGCTTGACAAAAAACAATGTATATAAGGTGTTAATTATTCCTCGGTGCACTGTGTCACTTGCCCTTGCATGGTACCTTACACCTTACACCTTACACCTTACACCTTACCCCATACACCTTACACCTTACCCCCCTACACCTTACACCTTACCCCTTACACCTTACCCCTTACACCTTACCCCTTATACCTTACCCCTTATTCCTTACCCCTTTTCCCTCACACCAGAACGCCCATTTGTAATGGTTTTTGCACTTCAATCATCTCAAAAATGACAATTTCAATTTCGTTCAAAAAATATAAAATGTCCATTTTGACGAAATCGCTATTCAAACTCCTTTATCCTTTGGAATGCGGCTGATCTTTGGGCCGACGAATACCGATAGGGAGTGCAACTAATCGGTGGATGATCCCCCGTAAGGATCTCATGCTCAATCACGTTGGATAATCCAATATCGTTATCATGCACACTCAACACCTCAACATACCCACACAAGACATCAATCAAGGATTTTCAGATCTCCCGAGGGACATGACTGGGTATTGTGATCACAGGGCAATCAAAGATGTCAAGTGACATATCAATCCAATCTGTCCTCCGAGATCGGCTGTCGCCCACGCTGGAGAACATGGAGCTACGGGTTCGGACCGAGAAGACGGTGGCAATCATTTGTGACTCAGCAGGACTAATCATCTCGGTTTCCTTAATTTTGGCATCGGTTTCAGAGTCAATGGTGCTTCCTGCTACTTCTAAGCCTGTTAATTCAACCATTTCTTGCATAAGATCCGGAACATCATCTATCGGGGCTTCAACTTCTTACTTAATTAGGGCGATTATAGCACCTTGCGTGAGCAACGATCTGGGTGAAGAGACGGAAAGATCCAGGTACTGATTCATTTGCTGATATCTAACTCAGAGTGAAAGCGCGCCCTCGTACAAGGTGCGAGAGGGTTCCAAGAAATCAGCCACATCTGAAATCTGCAAGATTGGTTCCCCCAGAAATGACGTGGTGGGAATCCGCGTTTCTGTTGATGCGGGAGGAGGTGTCGATAAAGCATGGGTAGGTTCGTTGTTTCCTGAGCTTATATCAAATGTTCGGGTCGTTGCTGAGATCATTCGAAATTCCTCTTTTGTTTCATAACCGAACATTTCAACTAATTGTTCCCATTCTCTTTCGATAGGCATGTAGTTCATCTCTTCCTCGTAATCGCATTCGTCATACTCGCCATCACCAGCAAGGTGTTGTTCCTCATCATTGTCTGGGGGAGAATCTTCCGGGCTCGGGACCTGGATCATTCCTATCCGGACAATACTGGGATTCTTTCTCAGTGATCGAGTAGAAACCCGTAACGGAAGCGTTTGAGGTTTTCCTCCAATGTGCGTGAGGACAAGCTGTTTGGAATTGAAATGTATTCGCGCACCTACAGCCATTGCCCAAGGCAATCCCAACAGTATCGAATAAGAGTGCACATCGATGACTAGCGCGTTAACCAGAATATGCACTCGACCCACCTTGACAGCTACATTCTCAATGATCCCTACTATGTTCATGGTTTCTTCATCAGTCGAGACGTAGTTGTCCTTCCCAATTAGTGGAAGGATCGAGTTTAGTCGGCCCGTTTTTCTGACTGTGTCTAGTGTTATGGCTACGGTCGATGATCCGGTATCAATAAGAGCATTGAACGGTTTACCCCAGACTTCGCAATCACACTCGACACTTTTTCATAGAACCGATTGAACACGCACAAAGTGATCTCTTTCCACATAAGAGATGGCAGTAACTCGCGCCGTTTCAGATGCGTCAGGTTCGGTTGAGGGGGAGAGGTTGCCTCAGCCTCGTCATTTTTCTTCTTCTTTAGCGTACGCTGAACGCGCTGATACGTGAAACGTTTTTTATTCTTCTGACATTGCTGCAAAAGTTTATCATTTGCTGCCTCTGATATGGTTAGCAAGTGTCCTACTGGGATAGAAACTCGGATATCCAACTGCTTGAGCGCCTGTAGGACATCGATTTCTCCCGTTGGGAACTGCGGTCCGGGTTCAGATCCTCGCTCGACCCATTCGAGCTCATCTTTGTCAGGTTGGATTGCTCCGATCAGTCCTGCCAAATGAAGATACTCTGCCGGATCGATGACATCGGTTGCTTCGGAGGAGGATCCCAAAGTGGACGTGATGGGGTCGGTCGAAGACGGCTGTTCGGTAGAGAAGGAGGAGGCTTCTCTATCCTTTGTTGCTTCTAATGATGCGGCCACCCGGCCTTGATTCAAGGCCACAGGTGCGACTGCTGGCGGGGGTTGATTACGCTTTGGCTGGGGGCATTCACGTGCAAAGTGTCCAGGTTGTTTACAGTTGTAACATTCAATCCTCCCTACTGGATTGGCCGCATGAGGGGGAGCAGGGGGTGCTGGACCAGATACAGGAGGAGCGGTCAGCAGAGGGTACAAAGCAGGAACGGGGCGGGAAGGATTATAATTAGCTTTTATTAGCTTCGTCATGATCTGTTCCAACCGTCCATCTGAGAAACCTTCATCTGAATCAGATTATTCATCCACTCAGACTGTTTAGCCGTAGCGGTATAAATCATCTGGGCCAGATGCATGTTAGTAATAGGCACTTATGCAGCATCCTGGGGCATTACTGTATTCACGAGTGCCATCTTTGGAGATAGAGGAGGTTTTGAGGGAGGCAGGGGATGATAGGGAGAGCGATCCGGACCGGGTCCGTCCTGATAGTCATGATCAGGACGAGGGTAAAATCGTCCCACCGCTCTGAGCCACGAACGCCGATTAGCAACCACATCTTGGATCGTGTACGAGA